TGAGCAACTAGCTTTGTGGGACAGTATACAGAGTCACTAATGGTTAGATAAAATTACACTTAAACAGTTCTCCTGATGTACCTCAGTTGGTTAGGTGATTGACGGCACGTGAGCTGGATGGGCGGGAGCAAATTCCTCTCGTGTGGTTCATGGCAATGGAAGTTGCAGCGCCTAGATGCGTTTCTCTTGAATGCAGGGATTATATTTCTTGCAGTGCCGACCATCATATAGGGGTTTCGCATCGACCAAGAGGTCGAAACGCCCCAGAAAGTCAATGACGATGATAGCAAAGGGAACCGCTGCAACGGTGAATGACCAGCAGAACGTGCGCCGAAGACCTAGGTCCATGGTAAGCGGCCGATGACAGTGGGTGGCTATTGGTGTACCATTGGAGGTACTTAGGCTTGTCGATAAAGAAGGGGCCAGCTTACTTGGGATATGGGGAATAATGCTGACTTACGCGCCAGTAGTAAAGAAGTACTAGTCCCCAGAATCATAATCATTGATGTAGATGAATCGGCTTTGAGTCTTGCCAAAACCGTTAGTCGCCATTACGGAACGGTGTGGGAGATCAACTGCAGTGAAGTATCTGCATGTCTGTTCGCGTGGTCAGAGCAGTAGCCTGGAGCGGCAGGCTTCGTGCGACGGGCAATGAGCTAAAGCGACTGCGGTGTTGACGGTCCAGGATGAGCTTCTCAATTTGGTGTTGAACTGACGCTATTTGCTAGGATAAGTCGTCAATTGTCGACGACGTGCTGGTCGCGCATGTCGCTCAGGTTGTGCCGGTTCTGAGATGTGTAAATGCTCTGGGCTCAGTCACTAGCTAGTGCCGTTCTATGACACGGTTCTCTAGGCCTGCACTTGCTGCAAGTGGTAGGTAATTCGACACTGCAAGGAGGGCCTAAGTGCTTTCAGGGATGTGATGGATCAACATCTCGTGCGAAACCCCTGCGCCCATGTTGGACGTGCCAATGAGGTACTGCATTTCTTAAAACGGCTGAGGACATCCCATCTTCTAGTTGCAGATCCCTAAATACTTACTTGTTGCAGACGGAGCATGTCGAAAGGCGTGATTCGCTGGATAATAGACTGTTTAAAAACCTCGTATTTCATTAAAAGAGGAAGGCAAGTATTATGTCTCTCACCCATGAGAATAGGAAATCCTAGGAGTGTAAAAAAGCTGATTCTAGGTACAAAAGCCATAACGAAGGATCCTTCTCTCAAAATGGTGCAGAGGCTAACACAGTGCTGGTCACCAAGTAAGAGGGTGGTATATGCTCTAAATCATACATCGCAAAATTGAATAAAAACATCGGTAGGTAAGAAAACAAAATGATAACAAGTAATGAATCACAAAGTAACCGAAACGAGCTCATTAAGATGAAAATTCATGGCAAGTGGTGTGTTCCGAGCCGGGGTCAACAATTCTTAGTTGGCGCCTGGAGTACTAATCGGTATCGATGACACATAAGAGACGTGCCAACTACGGAGCAGTAGAGAAGATCGACGCAGGTGGACTTAACGTATGTCGCGCATGCTACAATGGCTGGAAAGGGAGTCAGCAAAGGCGAGGAACATGTTGCGCAGGACTCACGAGAGTAATTTGTATGGACGGACGTACATTCAGTAAAACCAATGGACGTTGAGAAGGTATAAGCAACGATAAAATCCAATGTTGTAAAATATTGAAAGAGTATGTGTTTAGGTGCGTTACACTCTACCATGGATGCAACTAAGTGGGAGTAGACTTGGTGTGTCGAAACAGTAAGCCAAATGACCATGTCCGATCCGATTGTGGTACGCAACAGGCTTAACTTTTTTTTATCTACACGGCTCTGCTGATTTATTGAACCTTGTGTGCGCTGTGATATGTTCTTCCTCCTTTGTTTAATGGAGCCGGAACAATTACCGCATCGGTCCAGAACCGTCGGTATCCGTGGCAGTGCGCCATTCACATACGCCCAAGCCCTTTGTTAGTAAAGCACATTGGAATTTCCGCCTGGCTACTTTTGACGAATAAATCAGTTTCTACAAAGGACGGACTTTTGAGACACTAAGCATTCCTGCACCGCGTTGTCCTAGTGGATGTAATCTCCCATTATGTCGTGGTGCAGACTTAAATAAACACTGAGATTCTGCTTCTCATGATCAAATTTTTTCTGTCAGATGGGCGGCCTCAGTAAAGGCCGCATCATTGGTTAGGTGCGCTATTGGAAACAGCATGTCCTCAAATCAATGTTGGTACCACATTACTGTTGCTATTTCTGACCGAACCGATTATTTTGTCTACTGTAATTTCGGGCGAATGATTCAGCGGTCCAATGGAATTCATTACACATCAGTACCCGACTGACCGTTACTCAAATAAGCTTAATCTAGCGACAACGTGGGTGCTGGATTGATAGGCAATCCGAGTCTCATGCATTAAAAGAATGGTCGACTATGGTTCAACCCAGGTATACGTCTGCTCCTGTTTGTCGTGTTGAATACGTCCCATGACCCTGCATAAATGGAAATATGCAAAATCCCCCCATTTTGTTCCGCCTCACCACGCCATATTAGTAAATCACGACGCCGAATTCCACTGCGACCCTCGAAAATTTGCTACTTGCTCAACAGCCCCAACCCAGCTGACTTCCCAGTGCATCGAACGCAGCTTTGGTTCTAGTTAACTGAACGCAACAAACGCTGTTAGCTTAGATTGGGACAAGTTCAACCATTTTGGACATGGTTGTCTAACTTTATTTAGTTTATCTACAAGGGCTATGAGTTTCCTCAAAGGTAAGTCTTTTTGAGTTTTCCGGTAATGAGCACTCAAGGAGTACAAAGTAAAAATATCACTAACTAAATGGTCATTGCTGTTTCAAGCTGCTGGAATCAGCATACCCCGCGGGTTTTGACCTCAAGACAACAAACTGTTTGTGTTACTAAGAAACTTGCTACTGCGCCTGTGTTTAATCCATCTTGAATTGTTTTCTTACCCGCAGTCAAATTACACCTTGTGTGGTCGAATGAACCACAGCGGGGCACGGTTGAATAAACTTCTGTCATACAGCTCTAGCATCAAACTTCTTACGCAACCTAAAATGTCAGGAACAGAAGCTTATCAACTGACAATGGTGATGGACGATGGTCACGTGCTTGTTTGTAAGCGACATGATAAATCTGGAAGGCGAAGTCACCGTGATTTACCAACATCATGCGCGTTGACAACGTACATAGACGTTTGACCTAATCATTACAAGACGAGAAAACAAAGCCTAAATTTTTATGTTAGATTTCAGCTTTGAGTATGAAAAAGAAGTGTTCGACGCATTGTGACAGAGGATCAGAGCATGAAGGAAATTTGCGCAAAACTGACACCAATGCTTTTATCGGGTACGCAGAATGAAGTAGACAGAAAACTCTTTCCGCGCTGTGGTACCGATCAGTGATGGATACGGTTTTCGGCCGTACCACGGTTGATGAGACTCGAGCGTTCGCGTACAATATACAAACAAAGCAACAATCAATTCGTTGAGAGCATCAGGGAAAAGCAACACTCACATGAGGTGCTTCGGTGTTGTTCGCTGCCAACACTACACTCCCCAAACGGATTCGTATGTCTGATCTCATCAGGTAGAGATGGTCTGAGCAGGGAGGGGAACTCGGCACGTAATGGTTGGTAGCTATTGATGTGACCACTGGACCATCAGGATCAGTGAGCAATGTTTGGCACGGCTGTTAGTAACTGAAAGTTTGGTATGATTGTGACGCGTATTCCTTGTCGAGACCTCATTCACTTTGAAGAAGTCGTCGGTCACTATGCTCACCAGGACAATGACAGCATGCATTAGTCGTTCGGAGTTGAAGTCCATGTTCTTGTGTTTGTCGACATTCAGGTTACCGTTAGAAAGTAGTAACTATCAACAGGTTAGCGCGTTAGTCCGTCGTATCATAAATATGTACTGGAAAATTATCTGAACTGGTGAAAGAGTCCTGATCTGTTGAATAACGACTGGTTCTATGTGACCGCCAACAGGCTGTTATATTAATGACGGAACTTTGTCCATCAACTGCAGCTAGTTTGTGGAATGTTCTACATCTTTTCCTGGTGTATCCGTATCGGGATAGCCTTCTGAAAATCAAAAATCAAAGCTGGACACATATCAAAATTCTATTAATCAAAGAATGCAACTCCTCTACACAGTACGTAACTGGTATGGCAGTAAAAGATGAGCCGGGCTATATCACAGTCAACTGCCAATCATGCAGGTCCGCGACTGTCCCCCATGGCGAAGTGGTACTGGCTGCTGGCATCCGGAAGTCATGGGTGGAAGGACCCGGCAGAGGTCAGCTGGAATGCGCATCACTGACGAGATCCAGAATGTCGAAAAACTGGCGTCTGGTGCTTTTGCACACTAGTCAAAACTTACTGACTGTAAGTGGACCGTGATGAACTATCTCGAATGCAAGTTCATTTTTATGTCTAGCGCCAACCCGTATCACTCACGATGTGGTGCTATTGCCTTTTTGGCCGGCTCTCGAGATTTGTTCATATTTGTCCAGTTTAACTGCACTATCACTCCAGCCTTCTTAATTGCTATGAGGTTGTATAAGCCGCGATCCATTAACTTTCAGGCTACTGGAACCAGATTCGCTCAACACACCTGATTGATCCTCCAGTAACATACATGGTATAGTAGCATACCACTATTACAATCATCTCACAATTTGTTCCTATTCATGAACCTCGAGTTGGCGCTAAATGGAACTTATTTAAGAAGGGTGGAAAAGGTAATATCGTAAACGGTTTAGTTCCTGCCAAACCTGTTGAAAGGCGTTATACAGAAAGGTTTTGGCAGCGAATGAGACGGAAGAAATGTGTTTAAGCTTGATGAGGTTTCGCCTCGAATTCAAACACCAATGATTTGCAGTTTGGTTAAGTGTATCCATTGCTTCAGTCTTTCGTCGCTTTAAGTTTATGGAAATAATATGTTTCATCGTGGCTCTTCAGATTTATGTACACATATTATGCTCAAAAGTTGAACCGCATTTTCAGTTTGGTATCCTCACTACCTTCTAACAGCCCTCAACAGCACATCCACAATGGGTCGATGAAAAGCGACGAACAAAACACATTGGAACGCTACGAATGCGTTGGGCATCGCGAGCAAGTTGAACGTGAGACTTCTGTGCCGTCTCGGTCACATTGTGATTCATCCAAGCAACTGCTGCCACACTGGAAGATGGACTCGCCAACACGCGCCCCCTCGAGCAATGCAGTGTCCTATCAATCGGATTTTTCTGATTCCGTCGCTCAGACAGAGATCTACAACCTTAATGATGACTCCATCTCCTCGAAACATGAGGAGCCAGGCACAGAATCCGAGGGAAGAATGAATGAGAAATGTAATTTAACTAATCTGGATAACGTGCCCCGAGAGATAGCCTCACCGAGAGGTCAAGGAATGGCAAATGGATCTTTTCTCAGTGAACAGAACCGCCACAAGTTTAACCCTGGGGATAGTGAGAGAGGAACGAACAAAGACCCGGAAGTCGTGTGTGAGTTGAGTAGACAGTTCAAATTAATGAAAGTCCGACCACCCTGGCGGGATCCGAATTCAAAACCACTACCAAGCGATCGTACCGCATCCTTATACGATTTATACGAGCAGTTTTCGAACAACACATGCAGTGCGATGGCGATGACGGATCTCAGTAGGTTGCTCAACAGAGGAGAATTGGCTGTCTGCAGACCTTATCATGCAACCCTTAACCGTCACAGGCAATTGGAAAGGATTCAAATGGAAAATTATGTAAGCACACTTGATTGATGATGGCGAAATCATGTTTGATTTTGTGTTTCTCAAACCATGTTCGCTTCCACTGATTGTAACGGTATTTTGGGAGTGTGTTTATGATTCAAGGTAGCGGTATGAGACTACTAATATGGGCGTGTAATCGAGCATCTGCACTGAAACGTCAAAATTGGCGATAGCAGCAGACTACATTGCATGACGTTGAGAGGCAAACTGTAAACGATGCAACCAGCAAAATTGGACATTGGTAAGCTAACTCGTCAAACAAACAGTGGTTATCGAATATAGAAAAGTAAAATCCTATGGCCTTTCAATAATACTTGAGTAACCAAGTAGCATCCAATTGCTGCAGCAAAAAGATACAAACAAGTGTACATGAATAATATTGTGTCACTACAGGGATAGTCAAATCTTCCGCTAAGTTTTATTCGAGTCCACAGACGGCTTAGAACAGACAGGGAGAAAGTACTTGATGAACAGTCTTTGTGTAGAATGGAGTGGCATGACAGAAAATGAGCCCATGCCTAGCCGCACCACTTATTCGTACATGCATATCTGTCTGAAGAAAAGAAAAGAAAACATACAGACTGAGTGTATTTTCGGGACAAAATATTTGCTTTATGTGGGCGGTTACAGTCGAGCCACTGTTGTTACTGTGTATGATAATTCTTTTACAATTAGCAAAAAGTGTGGTGGTGGATGAGACCTGGGGCGAATGTAATCTTTGCAGTGCCGAAGGACCGGGAGCAACTCAAACGTCACCGACAAGAGATAAGCGTGTACCACGAGTTCGGCCGCCGCAGCGTGAAGGTGAGACAGCGTGACTTGGGACAACTGAGGAGTGGATTAGTCCACCGAGCTGTGCTGAGATGGCATGCGCCTGAATTTCAACTCAAGAAAACGGTCCATTGTGGCAGCTGGTCAGTTGAGATAGCACCATTCAATTAAAAGGATGGTCAATCAGACTTTACCCATGAGAGCCGATCGAGGATGGCAGCAACGAGGTCCAAAGTAACTCCAGACACGGTAGGCGTGGATCAGCATGTCTGGAGAGCGAGCACGAACCAATGGAATGTAATCAACGATACAGTCCAGTTAACAAGGACCAGCCAGAAAAACGGACCACAGCAGAATGGTGAATTTCGGTTGCGCACGTTATAAATAGTCACAAATCTTTTTAATGACCAACTGGTGATCGCCGTCCAGACTTTGTTTTTGATTCCCGGACGGATTAATAGCTGGTACTCCGCATAATGAGTCATGTGGCGTGGAAGAATCCAGAGTAGTTTTAATCTTGCCTCCTAGTGTAGTAGGCATATGAGTTAAAAAAGCCGAGCGCACATCGACTACAACACACTGCCCTCTTCGATCTCTTTTGTCATATGTCATCTATCGGCGGTTGTTTTAAATACAATACTTCATGCTGCCGAAGTAACGAACAGTTATGTGCAGAGACCGATGTGGTTTTTGACTCGTTAACATTTAGCCTCGTCGATTGATACTGTTGAAACAAACACTTTCTTGTTTCTTTGAAATAAACTGTCTCATCTTGCTTAACTGAATAAACGTTGTCATTGGACCACTAATACATGTGTCGAATTTATTCTTTGACTGAGCACTCAATGCCAGGGACTATTCGAGTAATACCGTAATCAGTCATCCTATTTTCTCTTCACAGAATCTAGCCAAACGCCTGCAGAGAATCCGGCCATCGCCAGGTATGACAAGGGCGGAACAATTACGTGAATACAAACGGTACTTTATTCCTCCCAGCTGTTTTGTGGTGAGAGCGACTGCATTACCCCGTCGCCCAGAAACTTCGGTCGCTACGCTAGGGTCAGGTATTTCTGTGGACCGCCACTCAGGCAACCCAAAACCACAACGCCGGCTTGTGCGCCAGGTCGGTTCTGCTCAGGCGTATTACAAGAGATCCGACGGATCAACCGGAGAACAGGGTTCAACATCCTCTTCTCAACCACATGAACGAGCTAGAGTAACTTACACAAGACTATTAGAGAAGGCAATAAGTTCGGCAGCTATTGGACCCTTGAAGTCCTCTAAAAAGCAACGACGGTCGTCACACCAAGAGGCACCAGATACCAGGCCTAACATTCGGTGCGCGAAAGCTGATCATTTGGAGATACAAAAAGTCCCCGGTCATCCAATTCCTCCTCCACCATCTCCCACTTGCATTCGAAGTCAAAATAGCAGATGTCATCGGGCTTTAACGAGTGTTCGGAAATAAGGTGATTCAACCACATTGCTACTCCGAACTATGTTGCCCCGACGAATTTGTATTTTCTAACATTACTTCAGCTTTTCAGATGAATATCACATAATGCGGTGTCGGTGAGTTGGTATATACTGTATCCTTTCAATTTCGTCTATGTCCGGTGAAAATGAACGCTGGTTTCCTTTGCCGGATCTCATTCACTCCGCATCTGTACTTTAATCAAAGAAGCCATTGCGTCTTCGCTTATTATCTTCTTACACTATTCAGATTGAGATGAGACTTCTATTGTCCTTTTAAATGCAACTCTTACAGACTGGTACAATAAGTTCAGTCACCCTGCAAGCAATGGTATGGCATAGAGGATAAACCCAGATTACCGATCATGGGGTACCGTTCAACCGGAGTAACAGAGTAGGCTGCTTCAGGAGAAAAACTCACCTTCCGGGAGGCGAAACTAGGGGCTGTGGGCAGAATAACTTGTAAAGTTAAACCGTTTGACGGATCCGAAAAACTTTATCCTTTAACGTCTCTTTCACTGGTTCCTTCAGAGTATTGGGCTGGTTGTGCCAGTTATTAGACCAGAAAGAAAAGAAAATGGCACCGTCAAACCGTCACTCATTAGAAATTCGTCACTGGCTCGAAATCCAGGATATGCTAGGTTGGCTGGATTTTCTGCTGTTTCCATAATCCGTCATTGTACCCGGACAGAAAACTCGTGAATCTCTGAAAGAAGGTTGGCTTTAATCGTCCTACAACACCTAGTCGTGCATTGTATAAGTTGCAACACGATCACTGAATCAGTCCTGTAAAGGGACCGTCTTTTCTCCCGTAAATCTTCGGATATTGATGGAACAGTCGAACGTCGACCACAATGGCCGTTAGCTCTGGGTTCAGTAATGCAACTGATTTCATTGTTATCGGCTTTGCATTGTTAATCTCCATCGTTGATCCTCGCGTACTCGACGACTCCTTATCCATACTTTAAAGCAACAGATAAACAGTGAAAATTTATTCCATTGTCAAAAAAGTTTCTGGCCTGATAAAATTCAAGATTTTTAACGTCTCCAACAATCAAACATCACTTGAAAAGTGATAGTATTCGTCTCCTACTAGTGCGTCAATATGATTGACGGCATCCGGTTTCAGATTTGCCTGCAACTGTCGCCATCCACAAGGCGCCTACAGAGAGACTATGGGTTGCTTGCGCTGCACCACCCACAGCTCCATCCACACATCCCATATCCAGTGTAAACCCAAAGGAATAAGACCGGGAGGCATGCGGATGGGAGCCATGTTTCGTCAACGGAACCGGTCTACACTCCTTCACAGGCAAACAAAAACACTCAGTATTTGGGGAATCAAGCGCACACAAGGCGGTGGCTGGACCGTAGTCCGCTTCACACTGAGTGCATGCAACCGCTCTTTCAGCCTAGCACGGCCACAAGGACTGTGCACCCGTCCCCTCCAGCAGCGATTCTTATTTTCCTGGAACTAGTATGGACGAGGTAGTGGGTAATAGACGGGTACGCACTTTGTCAACATCCACAGCAAGCGTAACCACACAGGGGATAAAAACCAACAGCAATCACTTGAAATTATAGTATCAAATAAAAGTTATTAAATAAAGCATGCGGATAAACCGATTTGACTCTTCGCTAGGTGAGCATATGAAATAAATTGGTTGCCAACTAATCCGCGATAGGTTCAAGACATCAGAAAATATGGTTTGCGAAAATGCCACAAAACGCGAAAACGTTACCGACGTCCACTACAATTAGTTTAAGGGACATGTGCAAGTTAATAGAAGATAGTTTATGTTGATATTAATATGGGATAAAATAGGCATTACTGCAATATAGCCAACCCACCACCTAAAATAAAGAAAGTTAGCATGCAAGCACGCAGCTAGTCAAGTGAATGCAGCGTACCTACAGACGCTGCGCCGGTTTTGCCTAGGATCTAAACAGCACTCGTCTTCGTTTCCGTCTTGGCCCCTTGTGGCTTCGCTCGTGACTCACTAAGCCTGCCTTGTTCAGAAACTTCCGATTGCAAGTGCTACAGTACCGTGCGCTCGACGTACACTTTTGTAAACAAAGGTGTCGGTAATGAGCTTGATATTATGGGACAGGTAGATGTTGAGAGTTCAAAAATTGGGGCGTATTGCAACCGCAGGGCATTAGCTGCTTCTTCGGCGCTTTGTACTCTACCGCCTGTCGTGAATAGTGGGGGGATTCCATGCTTCACTTTACGAAGCTTTTTGACATGCTTATACAGCAGTTTGTTGTTTGCCATGAACTTTTTGGCTAGGCACTGTTGATACGTTATTTTGTCCTCACGGACAAGTGCAGTGCAATGGTTGCGATGGGTCAGGAAATTTCCCCAAGTCTCTGAGTCGGGGTTAATCTTGTAGGCACGCCATGCTGCATCCCTTATCGCCAGGCATTTGCGAGTCCTACTCCTTATAATTGAAGGCATTTTCGCGGGATGACGGGGTTTGGTCTCTGATGCTTTGTTGACGATGTCGCTGAGCTTATTAACGAACTCTGCCCAAACGTTGTCAAGGGGACTTTTGTTTGCGAATTCCCAAGCAGCTGCGTCGGCGAGTTCTTTCAATACGTGATAGCGTGTGATTGTATGAGTTAGTTCCGATTGTTCAGATGGATACTCTGCATAACACACATAGTCAAAAGTTATTACTACGTGGTCACTGAGACCTAATGGACTATCCATCTATAACTTCGCAATCATGAGCTCTTCATTTGTGAGCACAAGGTCCAATATGGACGGTTTGTTTGCTGTCCTGAATCTAGTGGGCGTGGTGACATGATTGTACAAAGGAATATTAGCGATCAGTTCCTGCAAGTCTGCTTTGAACTGCTCACTGGGCGATGTCGAAACCTCCAGATTGTGTAGATTGAAGTCCCCGGAGATGAGAGTGTGGCTGTACCTAGTGCGCGTTACTCTGTTTAGGCCACGGATGACGCAGGAATCCATTTCCAGAGTGGACGTTGGGGGGCGGTAAACGATAGCTATGAGAACAATGGTTGCACTCAACAAGTTAAGCAACCTACAAGAAGAGCTAAGACATTAGATCTGATATTTACCATGGACATTCCGTCAGTGCCCGTCACTAATGACAGCCCACCAATGGCCTAAGACCACAATACCGCGTTATACAGCATGAATATTAAAATAGCAAACTACGAGTGACTGACAAGCCTACTCATTGCGTCCATCTCCTTGACTAAACCATATTTTACAACTCCTCAGTACCGTGATTTAGGACAAATTCTTCTTAACACAGGATGCTACCTTAGCTACTAAGGAATTTATAAACAATATTCTCAGCTGTACCGACCTATTAGCACCCACACAGTGGAACAACCCCATAACAGTAGTAGTCAGGGCAATCCATGCTTTAAAATTACCGCTATATTGAAGAATCTGCAGTCCCAATATCGCAAAAACGATGAATTTACAAAATTACTGCAAATTCTTGAGACACTACTGAAAGGAAAAACTAAGGCACCGCAAGCAGAAAGCACCGAAGAAAACAAAGCGCTAACAAATCCGCAGAGGAAAAGAACCTTGGTGAAGCTTCTCAACTGGAGGGATCCAAAGCAGAACCATCAAATTCAAAGTCGACATTAGAAGATGGATCAACAACTGATGACGTTAGCCAAATGTGTGCAGCATTGAAGCCTAATTTTGCAGCTTCATTTAATACATATATCAGTATGTCCCATCCTCTTCTAAAACGTAAGGCCGATGACGATTTCTCGAGTATACCCGCGAGCCTGATTGATCATCAAATAAGTATGGTTCGCGGCATACGGTTTCGGATTTGCCTGTCACTGTGGCCGGCTACAGGACGCCTGCGCCTACAGAGGGACCATGGGTGGCTTGCGCTGCACCACCCACACCTCCAACCACACACTCCATATGCAGTGTAAACCTGAAGAAATAAGACCGGGAGGCATGTGGATGGGAGCCACATTTCATCAACGGAGCCGGTCCACACTACTTCACAGGCAAACACAAGCACGCTGTATTTGGGGAATCAATCGCACACAAGGCGGTGGTTGGACCGTAGTCCGCTCCACGCTGAGTGCATGGAACCACTCTTCGAGCCTAACACGGCACAAGGACTGTGCACCCCGTCCCATCCAGCAACGACCAACTGTCTCCTAGATCCAGTATGGACGAGGTAGTGGGTAATAGACAGGTAGGCAACTTGTCAACATGCACATCAAGCGCACCCACACCGGGGATATCAAGCAACAGCCAATCACTTGAGAACAACATAACAAAGAAAATAAATCGAGTAATGCATTAAGAAATGGTGACATAACTCTTAAATTAGTGAGCATATGAAATAAGTTGTTTACCAACAAAAACGATTTAAGTTCACGAGGTCAGAAAGTTTGTTTTACGGAAATGCTACAAACACGAAATTGTTATCGAAATATCTACAAGTGGCTTAAGCGACCTGTGTAAGTGTATAGAAGAGAGTATAAGTAGGCATTTATATGGGGAAAAAAAGCATTAGGGCAAAATTGAAAACCCACCACCTGAAATAAATAGACTTAGCATGAAAGCACGCTGTTAGTAAATCGAATGCAGCGTACCTACAAACGCTGCGCCGGTTCTGCCTACGTTCGCTGAAGGATCCGTTGTCGCTTCGGTAGTAGTCCCTAGTGGCCTGGCTCATGGCTCACTAGGTCTGCCTGACTCAGGCACTCGCGACCACATGTGCTACAGCCCCATGCGCTCAATGTCGATGGAGTACAAGTCATCGGTGCTTGCCGCTTCCGCAATTTCCGCCTCTTCTCTGCATGTGTGAAGTATTTTTTCCGCAGTCCGGCAACTGCCTTCATGATTAGATCGCGCCATGCACGCTGATCAACCGCCTTCGGTTTTCATGACCTGGAGTCAACATTAGAAAGTGGTAGGCTTGGTTTGATCATGTCCTGCCAACGTAACTTCGGTTTTCACACGTGCCGCTTCCCAATACTCAGCTGACCGTATAAGAATTGTTTCGGTATCCACGTTGAATCCATATGCCACACATGACTGAGCCAGCTCAGGTGTCTCATTAAAAGTATGTAATCCACTGCATACATCCCACTTTGTCGCAACACTTCCGTGTCAGTAACTCTGTCGCCCAAACCGATGCGTAAAATCCGTCGCAAACACAGTTGATAGAACCGCTCGAGATATCGCACATCCCGCCGGTACATCGTCCATGTTACACTGCCCAATAGAAAAACGGGCAGCAC